GACTCCGGTGGCTCGGCCGCGCACGCTCAGCCGCGCTAGGCCCCGCGGCCTCCGCCGGGCCCAAGTGCGGGTGGGCATGTTCAAACATGCTTTTCCCTAGTTCGGCGCTCGCCGCTAGGCGGCGCTGCTAGTCCCGCGGCGCTAGTATAAAATGAGGCGCTGGCGGGCCGTCGAGGGACGTGGACGTGGATGACCCTGGTGTCGTCGACGCGTCCTCGCAGGACTCGCAGGAGGACGGCACGGGGACGGGTGATCAAACGCCGCGGCGCTCGAAGTCAGCCCTGCGGTTGTATAACCCGAGGTGGCAGAACATGGCAGAGCTGAAAGGTTTGTTCTGCTCCGATGCACGCAACTCACACGTACAACTCTGCGGATTGAGATAGGAGATTTTTGTTTTTTAGATTGGATAGAAAGAAACCCTAACGGAAAGGCCACAAATAAGATAGCACGGTGTTCAAAATGTGATGTGCCCTTGCGGGCACATTTAGCCGATCTAAAGAAACACTACGAAACTGACAAACACAAAGAAAATATGGAGTACTGGAATACAGACAAGCAGAAACGACTGAAAACAGTGGGTGTGTAACAAAGAATCACGTAAGAAATTTCTAAAAAAATGCATCAGTACTAACAATAGAACTTTACTGTGAAGGCATACATGTAGTACACAACGAAGAGAAAAGAGTAGACCTAAAACTCGCAATGTTCATAGCAGTCCACTCGAACATTCGCAGTATGGATCACTTGTGTGAACTTTTGAAAAACTTAGGGAAGGACTCGAAGCTTGAGCGGTTGCGTCTGCACCGCACGAAATGTTCAATGCTCATCAAAAACGTGCTATCCCCTGCACTGCTGACCGACCTCGTGGCCGACCTCAACACCTCGGGGGCTTACTCGCTGATAATCGACGAGTCGACAGACGTCACTGTGGTGAAATATTTAGCCGTTATGGTGAAGTATTTCAGCCACAGGGATGCGTCAATGAAGACCGAGTTCCTCGGCATCCTGAAGGTGTACCGTGCCACCGCCGAGGCACTCACCGGCGCTCTAAAGGAGTACGCCAACACGCTCGGGCTGAACCTGCGACAACACCTTGTGGGCCTCGGTTCGGACGGCGCGAGCGCGCTGATTGGCAAGCACAACTCTGTCTACAGCCGCCTCAAAGCAGAGGTACGCACTACATACGCTCGCGCGGCGAGGGGGCAGCGTCCGAAATGCCAGCCGATCTGGAGTTTCTCGTGAGAGAAACCAGGAATTGGTTCGCCAGGAGCCCCTTGAAGCGGCTCCAATACCGAGACCTCTTTGCGGCCATCAACGACGGCGCCATGCCGGCCAACCTGGTGCAGCTGTCCGCGACCAGGTGGCTGGCGTGGTCGCGCGCCATAGATGTCGTATTGGCCCAGTGGCTCGAACTGAAAACTCACTTTGGAATTCAAGCGGCATCACTAAAACCTACCGACAAATGCACTATCGGACGCAAGCTATGTGAATTATTTAAAGCGGAGGAGAACAGGCTCTATCTGTTTTTCCTGCAGCCGCTGACAAAGGCCTTGAATCAGCTTAACCTTAAGTTTCAAGCAGCAGATGCGGAGGTGTGCACAATTTTAAACTTTGTTAGAATGAAATATTCTTTGAAAAGATTATTCAGTTCTACGCTTCATACATTTTTAAGGTGCCGGTCCTGATAAGTGAACTCCATGAGATGTGCATCACCGTGGCAAGGATGTTCCTGGACCCCAAGTTCGTTCCTCGACTAGACGCCGGGGGGGACATCCGACACCGCGGTGATGAGTGATAGCGCCATTGCGACCCTTGAGCGGGCACTTAGTAACCCGCCCGCAGGCTCGCCTACCACTGAAAAGTGTCAACTACGGGGATCCGTTCCGTATCGAGCTGGGAAGGACACAAATAAAGCCCGACGTTCTGAACGTCGTAAAAAACAGGTGCTCACGACGAGAAAAGTCTACCTTTGCAACTAATAAGCATAACTTTTTAAAAAACAATTTTTAAATAATTTTAGATGTGTTGGCTACCTTGCATCATTGCTGAAAAACTTGCTGCGGATCTTGCCCGAACAAGCTGAAAGATTTTCGGCAATGAAGCACCTCATGCCAGCAGAGGCACTAAAGCCCTATGGACAGCGGCCGTCCTTCCGGTCCCTGCCCCTGTCCCTTGCTGGTACGTCTACCTCTACATGCGAGTAATTGCGCCGTCGCGTTAGACTTGCATGTCCTCTGAAAATTTTTTAGCAAACGGAGCAGACATGACTGTGCTCCAGCAGCAATGGGACAGGATGGCGAACATCGACTGGGGGAGGTACTTCCATGGGCGCATTCCGACATCCAGCGCGGAGCTGTGGGCGGCCCTCTGGTCTTACGAAATAGCGGGCGAGCGGAGGTTCGGCGCCATCGCCGCCTTCGCCCTGCGAGTCCTGTCAACTCCCCTTTCCAACGCAACCGTTGAGAGGGCCTTCAGCATCATGAACCTGACCAAGACCAAAATACGGAACAGGATGCAGACCAAGATGCTGGAGGCCCTCTTGCGGTTGCGTATGTGGTCGCAGGGAAGGCACTGCTGCGCCGCCTTCGAGCCAACGCCGGGCATGTACGCCCTCTTCCACAAGGGAATGTACGACGAGGACGACGGCGGGGCCGGCGGCGTCGCAGAGGGGGCGACGGCGGCGGCGGGGGCAGAGATGGACGACGCAGACACCATGGATGAGATATTTATAATGCTGAACGAGAATGAAAACACATACTAACACATACTAAAACTAAGGAAGTTCAATAAAAAAGGAAACACTCAAATTTGTTAATTTCTAAATGTAATTGGCGATTTTTAAACTTTTTTGGCGATTTTTAAACTTTTTTGGCGATTTTTAAAGTTTCTGGCGATTTTTAAGACTTTTTGGCGATTTTGGTGCATGTCTGGCGATTTTGTATTCGCGCGCCACACTCCTAGGCTGTGATTGGCGATTTTTTTGGCGATTCTAGCGCCACGGTGGCGAATTCTGGCGACTTGGGGCTCGTTGCGACTTTTGGCGACTCGAGCGCCGCTTGGTGGCGACTCGGTAACAGGCCAACTCACCCCGGCCGTTTTCGTACCTACGACAACTCGCACCCTGTCATTTCGTCCCATAGAAGTTTGGCACAATGATTATTTGTACCCAGACATTTCGCACCCAAATACTTATATTAAAAAA